GTTCTGCCCTTTTTCTGTTAAGTGCACTGTTGTTAAATTAAAATCAAATAGAACTTGTGGTTTGAAACTGGACACATGAAACTTTTTGGTTTCGGCAAACTTATCATGAACCAATTGAAATGTCAAAAATCATTAAAATCAATAAAAAACCAGCTAGTCAGACTCAGACATTTATTGTAAAAAAAATAAATGGTTTTAATGTATTATTAACATATATGTCTTTAATGTAAATAAAAATACACATAAATATATGGAATAAGATCAATTTTATATATATTGAATATAATATCAATTATTATGCCAATTTATCGAATAAGATCGATTATATATATATATATATTGAATATGATCAATTATTATCCCAATTGCTCTAGACAGTTGCATGTTTTGGGATTATGTAAATAGTAAATTATCAATGTTTTGATTTTTGGAGATAAGATAGTAATCGGAAAGTCTGAGACGTACCCTCCCAGTATGCCGAGATAGGGCCAGAAGAAGCTTTTTTAGCTCGACCTTAGCTTTTTCAAGACCCGGGCTAGGAGGGGAGCTCCGTGGTCGTTTCCGTTTCTCCTACTTCTGCCTCTATCTCCTCAATCTCTTCGTGTTCGCTCTTCTCCTTACACTTTTTGGCCGCTCCTTTCTTTAGCAAGGATGAAACTTCCAATGTCACCGAGACCAACAGAAAGAAATGCGCCTCCCACTTCGCCAGACTACCTACAGACAGACTGTCGAGGTTCCAGCTACAGGAGAACCAGGAACGGGGAGCCCTCCCCCCTTTTCCACCTGACTCTTTGGCCTTAAGAAGGCTGGTTTTAGTGACTACCAGGAAGACAAGAACGTAGGGCTCATCAGAAGTCTTCTTCGGTTACCTATCTCAAATGCGATAGAACCCACTTGACATACCAACCTAAGGAGATCCGTTAGAAGAGAGTGAAGCGCTTGATCGGTACACAAACACAAAGGAATCAAAGAGCGTGAATTCGTTTGAACAAAAAAAGGCCCGGCTGGGGTGGCTCATGGAGCAATTCTGATATATCTGCATGTGCATGCGGCAACGAATCCTGCAGCTAACAGGAAGCTAACTTGTGTAGCATTCTGAAAACAATTCTTGATTGTTGGTACACAAAAGAAAGAAGCTGACTCGATGATCTTGAATCGGATCAATATCATTGAATAACAACATCTGATCTATCAAATCAACCCGCCGCCGCGACTTGAATAGTATAACAATCTTTTTTTACGAGGTAGAAATCTCAAAATTTTTTGGTTTCAAAATCGACCATAGACCAATTCCCTTTTTGGTCCGATTCCGATTCCTCTTTTTCTATCTGATCCAAGATAGAAGAAACCTTCTTGTATCATCAAACCACCACCCATTAATACAACACCAACATTATTTGATTCCAAATTAAGAGCAAGTCTAAGGAAATACTCAATACCCAAGTCGGCTTACAAAGTTGATTGTTTTGAAAATAGAATATAAATATAAGGAGCAATAAACGAAATTCGAACAGTCTAGAAATCTCTTTCTTTTTCTCAATCTCACGAACAATTGGGCGGGCTCGATGGCTCTGTATGAATTATCCGTTTTTGATCCTTCTGACCCTGTTCTTGATCCAATGTGGAGACAGGGTAAAAAATCTTTTCTTTCTCTGTTAGAGGTGTTCCAAAAATCTCTTCGATCGAGTAACAAGTTCTACGACCGAATAGGGCGTATCGACTTAAAACAGTCAACTGCTGCGCCTCAACGCATTTCGGGGAGTACCCATGATAAACGAAAATTATTGGTGTCCACTCGATCCTGAGCCGATCGGTAAACAAAAGTGGATTGTGGCCCCTTTTATTCTGTCTTCCCTGCCCGAAGGTACAACTATCTGAAAATCTCGTCTACAAGGCCTCTTCCCACTCAATGTCCTCATCCATAGCTCCCCTCACCACCCCCGTGGGGATGGTCTACGGGGTTCATAACTCCTCCTCTTACTACAGGACGCTTACCTAGCCAACGCTTGGATCCGGCAGTTTAACTCCGAAAGAAGCACTGCACGAAGCCTCCCGGAATTTGATTGATTTATTGATTCCCTTTTTACAGAAGGAAGAAGAAAACTTACCTTTAGAAAACAATCAAGACAGGTTAGGTGCTCCATTTTCTTTTCCCATTGAGGTCTTCATAGGGCAATTGTCACTGCTTATGGACCCGAACCTGGGTGATCTATCCATGACCAGGATGAATAGCACGCCTGAATCTAACTGGGGTTCGCGGTGGTGGAGGAACTGGATTGGAAAAAGGAGGGATTCTAGCCAACGCTTGGCGGTTCTCGAACCATCAATGATTGGTGAACCGGCAGACCCATTTGCAACACCCCTGGAAATATTACCTGTCGTTTTGGGGCCGATTTCGAACTGTTCTCAACTCAAAAAAGCTTTCTAAGTCTTTCTCCACGAGTGTAAAGGTTCTCAGATTTTACACGTGTGATACATGTTCCTTCTACTTCTCCAAGCAAAGCGCAGCTGGGCCATCCTGGACTTGAACCAGAGACCTCGCATCCTTGAGCATTTTGAATTTCCCATTTATAAAAAAATCCCATTCTATATATCAAATTCATTAAAATTTCGTGGACCGATTCTTGAATAGCCGCTATAGTAGAATATTCGTGAGTTACGTTCTCGGTATAAATATGAACGATAGGCCTTAATGAATGGAGAGCGCTTTCATGTCGACAACTCAATTCATCCGATTACTATAGGGATGAACCCAATCCGGAATATGAACATTTCAGTACTCAGGGTAGGTTGATAACCGACGGCGGAAGGCATTCTACCCAATAAGGCTGATACTTCGGACCCTGCTTGGACGAAACGGAAAATATTGTCAATAAAATTACTCATCTTCCATAAAGGAGCCGAATGAAAGCAAAGTTTCATGTTCGGTTTTGAATTAGAGACGCCGAATCGACGTCGGGCTGATCGCCTACCCAAGAGCCGGGGTGCCGACTGCTTCCCAAAATTCGAACAAGATTTTGTACCGAGTCGCGTATTTACTTATTTATTTCAATATTAAGAGCTCTAGCTAAAGTAGTAGCTGCCCTCAATGTAATCGATCCTCCTAAGCTTATATCGCGTAAAGCCGAAAGAGGACCCCCTAATTGTGAGTATCCTACTTTCACACAATTTTAATAGCTGCAGATTCCTTCGCCTATTATTCTACCCTATGAGAAAAAGAGAACTGCGGATTCGATTGCAAACATAAAGGCGAATTCTTTCAAAATGTGAAATGCTGCTCTTTCTTAAGTTAAGGCTATGTCCTCCTAAGGATCCACCACAATAAGAATATAGGAAAAAGAATAAGAAAGAGGGTCCATTATAGAGAAGATATCTAATATATATTTTAGAAGAAATATCAATGATTTATCACGGGAGGGCGGTTGGGGCGTGGACATAAGGGTCTTTCAGATCCTCTAGCTCAATGAATGAGCAGAGAAGAAGAAAGGTTTTTTAAAAAGAAAAAGAAAATAAAGAAAAACCAAGGCATTTTAGAAGATTTCACAAAACCCTTATCGCTTAGTTTTCGACAGAGGAATAGACTATTCTTTTTTTTTATTCCACTGACCGTATTACATATTTGATCGAATTTAAGAATATTAAACAATCGTTCCCACCGCTATTTCAGAACTGTACACGAGATTTTCACCCGATGTGGCTTCTCATTGGTCATCCCAACAAAAATGAAGGGTTCAAGCGGAACAGAACAAACAATGTCGAGCCAAGAGCAGGAGGATGGGTTATTCACATTTCATTTGATGGTCAGAGGCTTCTCTAACTAGAAAAGTAAATGCTTGCGCCTGAGAAGCTTCTGGACCGGTGTTATAAACGCTCTGGCTAAACCTATTGACGCCCGATCCGATGGTCGGGCAAGCGGCTTGGCTTGATAAAAAAGGCGACTCAAGTAAGTGGTTTCAACTGCCAAACAACCCGGGCTCGTAAATCAATCCGAAATCCTGGATTTCCAAACCGGGTATAAGTTCACCCGGACAAAATGACTCTTCCTGTGATTAGTTCAATGAGCAATTCTTTGTTGGCACGTGGTCCCGCGCATCTACCATTATACCCGCAATGATCGGCCATACGATTGCCGTTCACCTCTACCAACTGAGCTATATCCCCCCGAGCCAAGTGGAGCGATGTTCAGCATTCAATGTGTATTCCTGAATCATCTCATTTTTCAATTATTCAACCATTGCTCGAAGGTTCGAAACCTTTCGCCCCAGGGGGCCTATTTAGGCCCTATCACTCCCCTACTATAGGGAGCCGGGTCGTCCGAATAAGAATAGCAAGGGCCTTTCGAACAAAATATAACGGGTTCTCGAAAACTAAGTAATTTTTGCTGGGCCCTTGATACTTTTATGACAGCAACAGAAGCCAAAATGAACGATTTGCACATTGAAATTCTTGGATAGTCACCTTAAATCTTGAAAGTACCAGAAATTCCTAGAGGCATACCATCAGAAAAACGGGTCGTCCGAATAAGAATAGCAAGGGCCTTTCGAACAAAATCAATACAAAACAAAGAGCTGGACCATCTTCTGGAATCGTATAACTGTCAAAAGTGCGACAGGAAAACCCCTTAAGAAAGGTCAGCAACGTCTATATCTGTCCTAACAAGGAGGTCTCTTCCCCCTTTAAGGCTCTAAAGTTCAGGTCACACAAAATTTTTCCATGTTGCGAGATGATGACAAAAATTCACAACAAAAAATTTCTTCGTTTGTCACTGCTTCGGACCCGTACATAAGCCGGAAAGTCTTTTCCTTCTATGTCGCAGGGTTAAAACCAAAATTCTTTCCCTTCAGAACCTGGAATTAGTGCTTATCGAGGGTGCCTTTAGGTAGATATGCTTTCAGGAGGGCTCAAGCAAAAAAGCAAGTGTGAGTAATGCAACTATGAATCTCATGGAGAGTTCGATCCTGGCTCAGGATGTTGCAGCCCCCTTGACTTTAACCAGGGTATAACTTGTCTTGTCAACCTGCCAGATTAGGTTGGATATATAACGTTATCAAAGGATTTCCTGCGACTCTTTCTAGTATGGTCCAACAGAAGGGGGGTGGGGTGTGGATTCAGGAAATAGCCGCCCCAGTCACTAAACCTAGCTCACCAAGCTTTAGGTAGAAGGAATGAATGAAGAGGTTCCTTTTTCGAGTTGGTTACTGAGATCTTCTTGTTGAGCCCTGGAACTAGAGAGTTTGAATCATTACTTACGACATAACGGGCTCTGCTGTCGGAGTAAAGGATCGTCAACAAGGGCGTTCTAGTGCGTTGTAGATTCTTATCCAAGACTTGTATCATTTGATGATGCCACGTGAATCGCTAGAAAGACGTGAAGTGTACTATTGGGTAAAATGATTGAATTGTATTTTTACAACATTTTTACAACAAAAAATCAACCAAGAAGGTTGTGCTTCCAACCAAAATCTCTATGACTGAACTTTCACGACCAAAAATTGTCAGTTGGCCCGGTAAGTAACTATACAATACACTGACCGCGTGCCTGTTGAAGAATGAGCCGGCCCCAATTTATTGTAGAAATTTTCGGATCAATGGTTAGACCAAACTCCATTTACTGTCTCACATCCCTCGGAATCAAAGTTAAGAAAGAAGAATTCCTATAATGGAAATAAAAAAGTACATTAACTTCAAAAGGGTAGCCGTGCTGGCCCATTGAATGGAGAAAGGCTGCTGAATCCATGGGCAGGCAAGAGATAACCTGTCTTATCCAAGACTTGTATCATTTGATGATGCCACGGGTCGTAATGCCAGAGGAATTATTACCGCAAGGCATAGAGGCTTTCGGGTTGGGTCTAAACCTCTGGCTGAACATGTTATTGGAGATCTTCCTGCTCATATGGCAGACATGACTGTGAATATGTCGTTGCTTTTCTTTCTGTTACTTCGAAAGTAGCTGCTCCAGCCACTAGAATTTTCGATATTCCCTTTTATTTCTCACAAGCTCTTTAATCCGCTACTTCGAAGCTAGCAGGTTCGAATGGCAACTCGATAAGTCTAAGGCAAGGTTTGAAGATACTCGACCATACAAACGAAGCGAAGTGAAGGAAAAGACCTCGACTTTTTTAGAACAGGTCCGAGTCAAATAGCAATGATTCGAAGCACTTTTTTTTACACTATTTCGGAAACCCAAGGACTCAATCTCAATCGTATGGATATGGAATCTAACTCAATAACAGGGGCTGATACTAGTCCAGCAATGGCTATTGAGCAGCCTTATCCGTGGCCTTATAGGCGACAATGACTACTTTCTTTCGCATATTTTATCATAGTAATATAATTTTGACACCCGCCTTCCCGGAGTTGCTCCTTAACATGAGGAAGGTCTCGTTCAATCTTCAGGGCGAACTCTCAAGAGTGAATCTTCAGTGGGACCTCTTCCTTGTAATAATTAGGAAAAATTTATTATTTTCAGTACTATATATTTAAGAAGAATAATAAAGTACATAAATCCACCACGACAATGATAACTAATCAAACCATAAAATAAAATAAAAAAAGGTAGAGAAAGCTTTTTTAATTGCAAATATCTTTTCAATCTCCTTCAGAAATGAAATGAAAAATGTCCTTGCCTCTGCCCAAGAACATTTCTTCACTCGTACATGTAAATTCACCAAAAACCATCCTTTCAGCTGCCTTCAGCCAAATGCGAATCACAAGGTTTTCGTCAGCAAAAAGGGAGATGAATCCATCTAGTGGATCAAAAATCATAGGTGAAATGCTCGTGTTTGTTTTGTATATTCTTCTATTTTGTTCGTTTTAAGTTTCAAGGTTGCAGCTTACAGGGGGTAAGCTGCCCCCATGTTCTCAATTTTTTCTTTTTTTAAATTCTTACAGGTCCTGAAAGTGGAGAAAATAAGGAATTGGTTCAAGAACTCCGTGTCTTTGTTAGGAAAAGAAGAGGTAAAAAAACTGACCAGGCCATTGTTGAAGAGGTTAAACCTCAGATTCTTGATCAGAAGGTATAGATGATGTTACTTTCCTTTTTTTCTTCCTTTCTTTTATTAGTACATGAGGAAAAAATGTTGACTTTATTACTCACACTTGTGTTCTGAAGCTGAAAAACTTATTTGTTAGGTGGTCCATTTGGTTTACCCGTGGTGGAAATAGGATTCTTTTTTTAGATTGTGGCATTCTTTTGCAAGTTTGATTAGTTCAGCTTGTGACGATCATTCAAGAATTGTGATAAGTTAAATTATGCTACTTGTTTAACATGTATTGGGTTTCTCACAATGTTGTCTGAAGGCTATGGTCATGAAATACTAAAGTTTATCCTTGTACCCAGTTTGCTTGCAAGGATAAAGTTCATTTTTAGCATTTTATAGCCCAGATTAGGATTTTACTTTATATTCTGCAGTCGACTAGTTACATGTAATATTTACTTGAGAAATATTGTTTAACTGGGTAAATGTATTTTTGGTGTAAATATTGTTGAAGATCTGGCTTTTATGTTCATTTCATAGAATGTATAGCATTTACTTCAATATAGACCTGCTGAAAATGCCAAAACCAATTTGGACGTCAGGCAAGAACTTTTGTAACAGATGCTAGGATTTTCACTAGATATGTTGCTAAGTTAGTATTTACGGTCATGTAGCCATTTAAAGTTGGTCTAGTAGCATATGGTACTTTTTCTTAATGGTTCAGAGTTTGTGTAGACTTTAATCTGCTTGTGATTCTTAGCAATTATCCCCTTTCCTGAACATGCTCTAAAAATTCGATGCAGCCTTCTAGCCTCCCTGAAATTGAAGATTTTGGATACCAGACGGACAAAAGTCATTCTCGTATGAGTATGTTAACTAACTTTTGTCTCTTAAAGTCCTTCTCATCAACATCATTATACTGCTCTTTCATGTATTAGATCCCCTATATGTTTTTTTCTTAAAGAAATTCTCGCCTTGCATTTTGAGAGTGTGTTTGTTCTCATTTACCAGATTATGTAAGCCCTCTATATAAATTGTACATTTTTCGTTCTTCACCTTTTTGTCATCATACTATTTAATGGTGGATATTTTAGCATACTCATAGTGTAATGAGGCTCCTGGTTTAAGCTGCAGAGCTGGCCTAAGGTTACAGTTTTAGTTTGGAGGTCACATAAATATACTGGCCAGAGATTATTCTTGTCAGTGAAGTACTTGAAAATGGAGTTTTCTGCTTAATTGACTAATTAAATCACTACTAAACAATTAAAGGAATTAAAATGACAAATTGAGGTGTAAAATAATGTGAATGCTTGCAATGTTCTTTGAAACTGGTTTTACGAAAGGACTTGTCGTACATGGTGTATTCTATTCAATTAATTGGAAGGAATGTTGCATATTTGTTTTCAGAAAGTAGGAAGCGACAAGAGTTGCAGCAAAATTGTTCCCAAAATGTGAAAACATTTGAAAATCTAATGTTTATTTATTTATCTTTATTATTTATACAGCAGAAGCGCCTGAAAACTGGGAGAAGGTCCTTGAATCTATTCGTAATATGAGGTCTTCCGAAGATGCCCCTGTAGATTCAATGGGGTGTGAAAAAGCTGGCAGTTCTCTTCCTCCTGAGGTGTTTTTTTTTTAGTTTCTACAAAGGGGAGCCATAATGTTCTTTGATGATTATGTCTGAGATGGCCATATGATGGATCTTCTGTGTGTATTAGCTTTTATTGGTTTGATTGAATATGAAATCAAGAAAATGGCTCGACTTATTGTTTCCATTTTAATTTAGTTTTCAATCTTCGTTCTTGGATTTTCAGGAGAGAAGGTTTGCAGTTTTGGTATCTTCACTCTTATCGAGTCAAACAAAGGATCACGTTACCCATGGCAAGTCCCGATATTTTTCATCTTTAAAATAGTTTACGTAGTTTCCAAATTCTCTTTTATTGTATAACTGAGATGTTTTTGTTTTTTTATCCTCTGTGGTATGTCACTGTTAAAAAGTTCATGAGTTTTGGCCACCAATTAAGTTCGTTTTATAGTTTTATGCTAGGATATGTAAATTACTAAATTCTATATACTTGGAATTTGCTGCATGGTTTATGCTATGTGTACGCTTTTTTATTTTAAAAACGATAAACGAATGGTGATACCCTTTTACTTTGGGTTTGCAGTTTATAATTGGTCGAGCTCTTTGACTTTCAGGAGCTATTCAACGGCTTCTGCAAAATGATTTGCTTACGGCCGAGGCCATTGACAAAGCTAGTGAAGATGAAATCAAGAAGTTAATTTACCCTGTAGGCTTTCTTCTTTAGCACTTGATATGATAAGTTGAATTACGAATTCGATTGTACAATGCACAATTCTAACTACTGAAGCTAAGTTATCTTTTGAATACGCAAATAGCCTCAACAGGGTATTCGTAATTTCGAAAGATAAATTCAACTCTTTCGTGATTAGGCTAAAAGCTTTAGCGCGATTGTTATTATAGTTTTCGATAATTATCCCAAAATTTTGAGTTAGCTTTTAATAATATCCCAAATTTTCCGCAGGTGGGATTTTACACAAGAAAAGCAAGCAACATGAAAAAAATCGCAAAAATTTGTCTCTCAAAGTACGATGGAGATATTCCTAGTACATTGGATGGGCTGCTGCAGCTTCCAGGAATTGGCCCCAAAATGGCGCATTTGGTGAGAAACAGCAAAATACATATAAAAGATAATTTNAAAAAAAAAAAAAACAAATGAAAATGGAGGCCTGCCAATAATATGTAATTCTTGGCTCATTGCTTTATTATTTCACCAAACTGACTTATATTTTTGCTCGTTTAAGGTCATGAATGTCGGGTGGAATAACGTTCAAGGAATATGTGTAGACACTCATGTTCACCGGATTTGTAATCGTCTCGGATGGGTTTCACGTCCCGGCACTAAGCAGGCACTCCTTGTTTTATTCAACAATAAGTTTTGATTAAATCCAACACTTCCCATCTATAAACATTGATTTGAATCATGAACGAGCTTTTTTTCTTGCTTCTTTCTTCAGAAAACTTCAACCCCAGAGGAAACTCGAGTGTCCTTACAACAATGGCTTCCTAAGGAAGAATGGGTTCCCATCAACCCTCTTCTGGTATGTACATTAATGCTGCCATGTCATTATCGACTTACCGATGTTTCACGTGTTGGAAAACAATAAATATCTTCAAGTATGCTCGAAATATTGTAATTTTCAGAGAACTTTGTCTGAATATATAATGCATTATTTTGTGAAATAGGTGGGTTTTGGTCAGACTGTATGCACTCCTCTTAGACCTCGTTGTGGCATATGCACGATAAGCGATTTTTGTCCATCGGCATTCAAAGAGATCCCGAGCCCATTATCCAAAATGAAAAAAAAAAAAGTGAACCGGTAGCTTAATATCGCCGTTATTATTGCCTTCGTTTTGGAACTAGAAGCTAAGGGGCTTCTTCTCTTTGTTAGGTATTAGTATGAAGTTTCCACCTAAAAAAATGGTAGTGAATATAGAATAGCCATTAGATTTTGAATATGTGATGGTGGTTAGTGATGTATTTTACTTTTGAATGGTGAATTTGGGACTCCATTTGGTTGATAAGGTTGTAATTCTTAGAATTGTATGAATGTCAATATTCAGAAAATGCTGATTGAATGCAAGTCTTTGATGAGGTTGTCATGAGTTTTGCAATGTGATGATATGGTGAACCCATTTTTGGCATTTTCCTCCATTTTTTTTTTGGGGTGAAGTACTTATGCATGTGTACAAAATAAATCTTATAACTTTTTGTGTGTTCTCCATTTTTTATTTTTTGGCTCCAACAAATGGTTTGGTGGTGATATTTCCTCATTAAACACATTAACACGACATATTTTAGTTATTCTTACATCACAATTTCATCTACTTTCCTAAAAAATGTGTCTCCAAGACAATTTGGCTAGAATAAAGGAAAGAAAAATTAGGCAACCACACCACATCCTCATTTCGTTTTTCCACTTCCAAAAGAGGAGATTTCATAAATAATTCCTCAATGATCTTACTTTATCAAGAGTTTCAATATTCTGTAATTCACAACTTAAATAGAAATAAAATAATTGAATTACTAATATAATTAGGTTAAAAAAATAAAAGTTGTTGTTCCGCAAATGTAAATATTATATTTTTTCAACAAATATACATACTTTTATACACAAGTGACATATTTGAAACAACAAAAACTACTTTTTTAACAAAGATGTATAGTTTCATATACAAGTTACGTACTTGGGAAAACAAAAAATATATATATATATAACATTTTACAGTATAAATCTACATTTTCTTTAAATAAAAAGTATGGCGTATCGACTTGTTTAACTGTTAGGCTACTCTATCAGTAACTTACCCTAAAGATAATTTTAATTCAAAAAAAATATATATTTGGTGGATTTTACTTTGCAGTCGAATCACACACCCACATATAAGTATGTATACATGTAATTCTGACTGCTCGAACATTGGTGTATGAGTTCATGTAGGGCCTATTAATCCAAAATATATTTTTTTTTTTCACCATAACTAACAAACAATAATGCAGTACTGTTTTAATCTTTCAAATCACCTCAAAGTTTTAATCTTTTTTCACCTTCTCAACTCAGCCAGTCAAATTTCTCTTACCACCTTCCACCTTCTCTCCATACAAAAACATTAAAAAATGAGAATAAAAAAATGGAAAAGGAAAAGCTCATTAAAGATCTGAAGTTCATTTCAGCTCCACAGTCCACACACTCAGAGAGATCTCAATAGTTGACAAAGCTACTCATCATTTTCTTCTTGGGTTTGCTTTTTTTAATCTGAAGTTGCTAACTTTAGCTCATTTTATTCCTCGGACCAGTCTCCTTCCCCTTTCTTCTTTAGGGTTTTATTCTTAGTTACTGTAAAATACTTCAAGATCTGCTTCACCCCTTGATTTCCTTCAACCCCTTGTCAAGTTTTCAGTTGCCCAGTTTTGTTTTTCTCTGGAAAAAGCATTATAACTTCAAAGGGAGAAACTTTACTGGTTGAGGGTCATGTGTGGGTTTGGATGACAAATTGGCTCTTTTTTGTTGGTTTTGGGGGTGGG